CCCCCCCCCCCCCCCCCCCCTCCTCCCCCTGCTTGAGTTATCTTCTGATGCTTTCCGGGAAACAAAGCCAACCTCCCCGGGCCCAGCTGATGATAAATCTCTGATTGAACAAGAGTGTCTCTGCTTTTCGTCGAAAGTTCCTTGCCCTTGGCCCTGCCGCCCGCGGTATTCAGACGCAAGGACCCGAACCAACCACCGGAACCTACTGGCATTAATTGCTTGCCCCGAGACGAGGCCAAGCGCCAACAAACTCGACGGTAGGCACCGAACGACAGCGTAAAAGTACTGTCGCGCCACCTTCTCCGGCTCTCTGCCAGTGCTCATCGCTTCTCCTCTCCTCCTTCTGCTTCTGGTTCCGCCTTGGCGTCGCCGCCACCCGGGGACGAAACATCGCCATTCCCCCCTGCTGTAGCTGCCTCTTCCTTCGCCCTGTCCTCCTCTGCCTTCTGCACGTATACAAGCAAGGAACAAAAAGACGCCGCGCGTTGCTTTTGAGCGGATTTCTGGCCTATTTCTTGTGCGTGTCACTATTCTTCTTCCTTCTACATACCATGAAAGGAGACGAAGTGAAGGAACGTGTGGTACGGGACATACCATGTTGGCTTTCGGACAAGTGGGACGAAGACTATGTAATGGGCTACCCGACTAGACCGATCAAAATACAAACACGCACACAACTTCTCTTGCAGGCGAATTTGATGTCAAAACGTTGTGGGTGAACGCCCTTGAATGTTGGGGCGAAAAAACTTACGACCACCACGCTAGCGGTTCCAGTGCATGTCGTCCCGCGTACGAGGACGCGCTTTCGACCGTCTCAGGAGTCAAGCTGCTTCCACCTAGCTCCTGTGCGTCTCAGCATCCCGAGGGACGCCAGCCCACCGTGAGGCGATCACGGCCTTCGCGCAACAACCACAACGCTCACATCTGATAGCGACGGAACCAAAGCTTGATTGCACAAGAAAAGAGGAGGCTCCCGGTTTTCATGAGCACTCAAGGTGGCTGCAGTGGGGGGGGAGGGGGGGGCGTACTCTTATGTTTTGCATGTCTTAGCGGTTAGACCATTGACCACGCGTCCTCGAGAGGACGGAGAATTGTTCCCACAGGACCGATCACCGATGGCCAATCGTTCCTTCCTACTTTGCCAAAGGTGGCTCAAAAAAGTCTTCCCTAGTCTGTCTATCCTAACGATATCCCTTCCCGCCTTTTCAACCCACCTCCTATGCCCCACTACAGCTACCGTCCTTTCCTCTCTATTCCATGCCTCAAACATCTCCCTGTACGTTCCATCTATTTTTCCCAGCTCAGTCACGTACACTTCCCTCTCCTTCTTGTACAACG